CTGATTTTGTATAACTATTTCGTAGGTTTATAATTATTTAGAATGTTCAGTCAGTTTCGAAGCCTACTTCCATCACTTTTCTTATGATTATAACAGCATGTCTATCTAAACGTTGGAGGCGGGGCGCTTGGGGTTGGGGGTGGGGGGGGGGGGGGTAGAGAAAGTTTGTTTAAATAATACTCACGGTTCCGCAATTGTAAGCCAAAGATACATTTAAATGGACTTTGGGACAGACCCCAAGTCCAGTATTAACTGCTGTATCTGCCATATCAATATAGTCGATGCCAATTTGATTAGGCACTCAGTAATGCTTCTTTAATCAAAAGAAGGCACTAATAAGCTGGTTAGACTATTTATCACCATGTGTGTCATGGGACATTTCAAAAGGTACTAAATATCACACACCACCTCAAGGAGCCTGAATTATTCCACCTATACCAGGAGCGTTTCCCTTCTTTAACCTATTCATCTCTGGTCTTCTACCATCAACTCTGCTTATTTTAAAACAATGATTTTGCAACCATAAAATATTTAATCCCCTTATTGGTAACAATGTACACCTGTCAATATAGTCTTACTTACATACTTCACCATTTACTTCCTCCCAAACTACTCAGCCTCTACCTTTTTTCATCCCTAAGCATTTTATTACAATCTTTTTACAATTATTCTATGCAGAGAATAGGTAAGGTAGGTATCAGGGTAAAATGCTAAGCCATTACTGAGAGATGTCAAAGATAATTATGAAGATACAATTACAAACTGCTATGGCTATATAAATAGCACTTGGAAGATTTATGGATTCAGGATAGGATGATGGAAAGGAATGGTTTTCAACCACTTGGATGGTCAGGGGGTTAAACGCTGACCTGCAAGAAACGAGACAGTCACTCTACAATATCTGAAACAAATAACTACATCCACAGTTGGAACAAGTTAAGTGAGAATGGGGAAGAGCCCAAAACTGCCAGTACTGTAGTTTTACAGCATTATACGAGTGCTGGGAAGGGACACCACGTGCGTAACTCGCATCCTGTAACTACACTTAGGTAATTATACTTAGTAATTACACACATGAAAGTCAAGATGATGATTCAGTCCATCTTGGCCCCTTATCAAGTCATGACTTGATAAGGGTCCAGTATGGACCAAAATATTGTTACTTTCACTTCACTTACTGTGTGGGTTAGGTTATTTAATTATTATACTCCATCAGTCTTCTCAGTCTCGTATTACTTGGCACTTCTTTCTGCAACACTACTGCTTTTACATCACTTTTCTTCCCAATCTCTAAATAAAATACCACCACAAGCCTCCATCACAGGCATATTCTAATAAAATGTTTCAGTGTATTGAACATAAGAAAAAGTGTCAAAAATTTGAATTTTTTCATATCCCTAAAATTAATTAAACTGAAAATTAACTGCATTAAAGATTGAAACATGTTTAAGTACTGTACATGAAAATACATTATCTATAAATGAATTAATAAAGTACTGTATCTAAAAACACTATTAGATTATGGATTATCAGGAAGCATCCACTTTCAGGACCAAATTTGTCATTCATTATTTATTGACTAAAACTCGAGCAAATGTATATATAATTACAAAATGTGTACACATTCTCATGAATTCGTTAGCCCATTTCTATAGCCAAGAGTGCATCATTTTATAAATCCAAGTGGTATGGTAAAAGAAAACAGGTTTCCCAAGCAAAATCAAAAGCTCAATGAATCTCAAAACTTTCCTCCATGGTTCTCAACTCAGAAGAGTTAAAAACTTATTTACACTCAGCAAGGAAGTAATTATTGAAAGACCAAATCTGGAAGGCTATTAACTCCTTGTGATACAGAACAGTAAAGGTATCCTAGATAATATTCAAGATACTAACACAAGAGAAAAAATAAATGCCAGTAATGTCATAAGCATCAGATTAACCAAATATTTTATCAAAAGCAGTGAAGAAATGGAAGCATATTTTACCAGATTGTTAGTTTTTAAGATGCTGTACAAATTTACTCCACAATTAAGTTGTGGATGAAGAGGAACTTACAAAGAAGATATTTTGCTGCCTTTACTTCAGCCAGGTAATATTTTAACAAGCTACACAGTAGCAGAAGCCTCATCAAAAGAAGGCACCAAGCCAGGAAGAATATGGAGCACTGTCTATGTCATGGGATATTCACAGTCATGAATATCGAGAAACCTTATCAAGCATTAACTGTTGTGTGCTAAATTCCAAGCACAACAAATTAAAACCAAGGAATTTCTATTCATTTTTTATTTTGTTTTCCAAGATTCACGTTCCATAAAAAACAATAGAAAATTTCTTATAAAATAAAATTTATCTTATCACTGTGAAATGCATGCCTTAGAAAAACAAAGATTTCCTTGGTAACATCACATGTACACAAGTGATTTCATGTACCTATTCATATCATCATCTTCATGTTACATGAACAGGTATATGAAATACTTAAAAGACAGGCATAATCCCAGATGCCTAAAGCAAACTTTTTAACATCTAGAAACTAAATATAATATCTGGTACACATAGAGGCAAACTGACTATCATGTATTGTAACACTTGAGAAATACAAACGATAAACAAAACGCTGGTATGACATGAAAACGTTACATAATAATCTCTTTCAAAGATACCAAGTACAAACATTAAATAAAATAAAGAAATTATATTCTGGTAATTCTTTCATTAACCCTTAAACCAGCCAGGCTTAACTGTCCATTCTCTCATAAGCACAGAAAAGTTCAATTTTGTGTTATTATACTGTACTGTTAATTAACATTCAGGAAGCACAAATATATTTTTGTTAGTGAATGTCTCATGGTTTAGCGGTGAAGCTGTAAAGTTGGCCATTTTTTAGTAGCTGCAGGCTAGGGCCGATAGCTGTGTTTATGGGCAACAAGTGATGGGGGCGAGGTGTAATTTGACAATTTCTCATTCCATTTTATTTTCCTATTTCTCCCTTTATTTATTCACATTTCCACAGTCAAATGAGACATTGGGGTGTCACTAGTGTTTTTAATATTGAATATAATGTGAAACATGCATCTGTAAAGATTATATAATATATATAATATATAAATATATGACAGTGACAGACCACAGAGAAAGAATTGAAACAGGAATTTCCTTAAGTACTTTCGTATATTAATACTCCTTCTGAAGATGTATTACTATACGAAAATACTTATGGAAATTCGTTTCAATTCTTCCTCCGTGGTCTGACACTCACATTTTTCATAACGTGTTAATTTTCGTGATTTACACACACACACCATAATATAATTACAGTATATATATATATATATATATATATATATATATATATATATATATATATATATATATATATATATATATATATATATATATATATATATATATATATATATATATATATATATATATATATATATATATATATATATATATATATATATATATATATATATATATATGTCGTACCTAATAGCCAGAACGCACTTCTCAGTCTACTATTCAAGGCCCGATTTGCCTAATAAGCCAAGTTTTCATGAATTAATGTTTTTTCGTCTACCTAACCTACCTAACCTAACCTAACCTAGCTTTTTTTGGCTACCTAACCTAACCTTACCTATAAATATAGGTTAGGTTAGGTTAGGTAGGGTTGGTTAGGTTCGGTCATATATCTACGTTAATTTTAACTCCAATAAAAGAAAATTGACCTCATACATAGAGAAAAGGGTTGCTTTATCATTTCATAAGAAAAAAATTATAGTAAATATATTAATTCATGAAAACTTGGCTTATTAGGCAAATCGGGCCTTGAATAGTAGGCTGAGAAGTGAGTTCTGGCTACTAGGTACGACATTATATATATATATATATATATATATATATATATATATATATATATATGTCGTACCTAGTAGCCAGAACTCACTTCTGAGCCTACTATGCAAGGCCCGATTTGCCTAATAAGCCAAGTTTTCATGAATTAATTGCTTTTCGACTACCTAACCTACCTAACCTAACCTAACCTAACTTTTTCGGCAACCTAACCTAACCTAACCTATAAAGATAGGTTAGGTTAGGTTAGGTTCGGTCATATATCTACGTTAATTTTAACTCCAATAAAAAAAAAATTCACCTCTTACATAATGAAATGGGTTGCTTTATCATTTCATAAGAAAAAAATAGAGAAAATATATTATTTCATGAAAACTTGGCTTATTAGGCAAATCGGGCCTTGCATTGTAGGCTGAAAAGTGAGTTCTGGCTACTAGGTACGACATATATATATATATATATATATATATATATATATATATATATATATATATATATATATATATATATATATATATATATATATATGTGTGTGTGTGTGTATATGTATATGTGTGTGTGTGCCAAGTAGATATGATGGCATCATGCATATTATTAGCTGGCATACTTGTGCTGGCTCTTGCTTGCCCAATACTTATACTCACCATACCAGATCAGAACCAGACCTAGATTTTGTAGTACTAAATATGTTGCAAATGGCAACACAGGAGACCGAGTCTGCAGGATGCCACACATTCATGTCAAAGATTGTCACCCCCACACAATTTTTCAATCTGGCTTTCCTTACTGAAGCAGAAGATTATTTCATCTGATATATTATTATTCAAGGTTCCATGAATGATTAAAATTCCACAATCATTGAGCATTGATCACTGTCCTAGATATATACACACACAGTATATAAGCCGGATGTCAAATAACATGCGACTTCACAAATGCAAGAAACACCACAAAACATAAATAAGAAATGAGTAAACCCCTTTCTTCCCTCTAGGGAATGTCTTAAGAGACCAAATATATGGACAAGACACAGCTAAGCAGAGGACAGACCAATAAGCAAATAGTTGGCAACTTGCCTGAAGACATGACCTTGAGAAGAAATGCATATAAGAAAAAATAAATAAAACAAAAACAAAAGACTAAAATAACTGTGGTGGAGAAAAATGTATTTAATTTTGCTCAAATACTCTTGAAAATTGTTACAGATCAGCCAATACCTTGAGAGCAACTGAGTGGCTTAAGGGTTACATATACAACCTACCATACATATGACTACAATTAAAAAGTTTTGCATTTCAGAATGAAATTATGAAAATTAAAATATACAATCATGGCTGGGAAAGATTCTTCAACATCCATGTGTGTAAATAACAAGCTTCCAGTTTAGCTAGGGTTCCTGCCCCTTACATACCACTCACAAACCAATTCTTTAGATAAACCTAACACTAGTAGTCTTGTCACCTTTCAAGATGCATATACAGTACAATACTTACAACCTGCATGACTTGCTCACTAAATCTAATATTTATATATACAGCATATATGTACACAACACTTGAAATGGGCACGACCTCTAAAACCACCAATAATAAGTTTTTGGCAGTTCTACTGGGAGTTTGAACATTTTCTCAAGTCTAAAATTACAGGCAGAGGCATAGGAAACAAACTTTATTGTTAAATAACTCTCATAATTCTGAATGTGGTTACGAAAGTTTTCACCACATGTGCACTACTGAGAATTATGCATGTGACACTAAATTTTTACTGTAAAATTTCAGGAGGGATTTATTGTAATTTTGTGTTTTCTCAACCGCCAATGTTTTTAATATCAAAGGAAAAAAGAAACATTCCAAATCCACGATATTTGGGTACAACAGTTCTTTAAGGAAACAAAACAATACAAAATATTCTCCTTTGTCAACTGCCAAGTCTGTAAAGAATGAAGAGGAATACACTTTAAATTTTGTATGATTGATAATTTTGTCATAACTGGTTTATTACTTGAGCTTACTTTCAGTATATATATATATATATATATAGCACTAATCAACTTATACACAAAACATATACAATAATAATGGAATATATACAAATAAGGACCATTTTAAAATTAAGCCAAAATCTTTAAGATTAGGCTGCAAATGGCTACCAATCCTCATTAAAAAATGCATAAAGAGATTAGTGCTGATATATTGTTGGCAGTCCCCTTCCTCTCCCTCCAGTCTTGAGGATCCACACACTTCACAAGCACCAACCCTGACCAAAACTTTAAAACATCTGATATGAGATCTTGGTGCAGCTGCAATGGCACCAATTGATCCAGTAGTTAATACTAGCAGGTCCCCAAGTGATTTTCCACGCCACACTATTACATAGCTTTACGGTGATACTCTGGTGGGGCCACGCCGTAGTCTTGGATACTGTAATATGTCTCCATATTCTTTACTGTAAATCTGAAAATGGAAATGTCACAATGAAAACAAATTATCAACTTTAAACTGAATTCATTTTGAGCAGGCAATTACCACTCGGAATGCAGTTACTGTCATATATTGATTCGTAGGGTAATCGTCACAGGTTGATTTAAACTATTATTGTCTAGATTTTACACGTATGATGCTGAAATGGATATAATAAATTCTATATGGATGTAATGGAATTTAGCTTTATACGCGAACAAATCCTGTTATTTTGTGGTTACCTTATTAAGTGAATGTGGTTATTGTCACTGTATAAAATTCCGTCATAATGTGTACACTAATGATGTCCAAAATGTTTTCTCAATTCTATATGGTTGTTATGAAGTATCCTAGGTCAACCAATCATTGAACGTGATAATAAAGGAACCAAAGAAGGCCTATTGGCCCATATGAGGCAGCTCATATTTATATCGATATAAATAAGAGCTGCCTCGTATAGCACAAAACAAAGCAAGCCCTATTAATATACTGTATATTGATCTAAATAAAAACTACCTCAAATGGTCTAAAATGCTTATTTTAGGCATACCAGTATGTACTGTATATCCTTCTAAAAATGAGCTGGCTTGAATGGGCCTATATTGACGCAGCTCGTATATACTGTAGATTTAAATAAGAGCATCTTCATATGGGCATATTTATATGCATTTATATCACTCCAATTATACATACAATCGATTGTCTAGGCCTCCAAGGCCAATACAGTATATTGAGAATATGTGGCTCAAGGCCACATGTTTCTTGACTTCTGAACATTTTTTCACTTTGTCTCTTAGACACCTCTAGGTACCCTAAGTCGTTCTCTGGAATTCATGTCTCATGATGCCATGAGGCAGGAACAATGGGCCCCCACATGATACATCCCTGTGTGTGTACTCGCCTAGATTTGCTTGTGTGTGTGGGGGGGGGGGGTTAAGCTTTGGCTCTTTGGTCCTGCTTCTCAACTGTCAATCAACCAGCGTACAGATTCCTGAGCCTATCTGGCTCTATCATATCTACATTTGAAACTGTGTACAGTACTGAACCTGCCTCCACATCACTTCCTAATGAATTCCATTTGTTAACTACTGTGACACTGAAAAAATTCTTTTTAATGTCTGTGTGTGTGTGTATGTATACTGTGAATGAATTATATATATATATTTATAGTTTTTGTGAATTGTGCACCCATAGATCAAGTTATTCAATATTCATACCGACAGATGCTTCCACAGATGACCATCATGCAAGGTTTCACAGCTCGTCCACCCAATAAAAATGTACACTTTTTTTTTTTTTACATTTTGCATACCAATAAACCAAACTTTTGGAACTTTCTGCAAAGTCCCCCCCCTAAAAAATACCTTTTTATGCATAGGTGGATAATGATCATACAGTATCAATAGCCATTCATTGAGGGTTAAGAAAAGTGCTTTATGGTTATGCCTAGAAGAAAGAGAGGCTTTATGAAGTCAACACAAGACAATCAACTGATAAAGTCAAACTTAAAACCTTAACAAATTCTTTATATTTGGGTGAAAACAAAACAATCCTGACAATTTATTAATAGATTAATAAAAACAGACAACATACTGTACAGTACCTTAAGAAGTCCTGTAAGTGGAAATTTAGAAGAGCAACACTCTTCTCATCCAGCTGCGTATAGGCTAACATCTGTCCCAATCGCACTGTACAGGAATACAACACTTCAACTTTAAAATAAACAATAGTAAAACATGAAATACATCTGTAAAATACACAAGCACTCTTATTATGAACCAAATAAGACATAATGAATCTGATATGAAAATAAACGTCTACAAATTTGAACTGTATTGCCCGCGAACAGCTATGATGGTTCTTCTGTTACAACCTGGCCCGAATCTAGCCTGATCAATGAGGTTGGTTGTCCTCAAAGCTCACAGGGGCCACAGAGCCATTACAGCCAGGCTTATCTAGTACACAGGTAGCTTTATGCACAATCCCAGTCCACACTCCTAATCTACACCTCACCACATGTAGTGGGGGACTTACAAAATAAACTATAACTACACCATGCAGGAGAAAACGTTTAGGAGTAATGTGATTGGAATAAAATTACCTCCCACATTACCCACTAGGGGTGACCTGAGATGTGAGTTCAATTCTATCGCATTCCTCCGAAAGACTCTCATAGATACATCATGCTACTGTAATTTAATTTTACACCATACACTTTTAAGCTACTGGCTGTAGCATAAACAGCCTACTGAGATGGAGAGTCATAGTGGGTAGTCACCCATTCACACTTCACAAGACCTTGGATGAAACCAACTCTACCCAACAGGGCAACTGAAGGAAACATTATTGATGTTTCTTAATGTCAACTCCATCTGGAATTCTAAATTCAGACACCACATACAGTTTAGCATCACACTGACATGTCATTAATAACAGTGGACTAATTGATGGAAATACAGCCTCAGCCCCCCAAAACTAGGTACAGGTATCCATTACAGCTGACATAAAAAAGCAAGGGGGCATAGGTGTGAAGCTAGCCTACTAGTTAACTGGGAAGAGCCCTTACCTAACATGTTCTCAACTGTATAGGGAAAATCAGCAACTCTCTTGGACCCCTCTTCATGTGCACAGTCCAACTAATCCAACTAAACAATTGAGGGGGGCAAACAACTGGAAACAGTGAGCCATCTACCAAAGGCCTACTGAACCAAGCAGCACCAAAGAAGATCAAGAGCTAACTTTGTATACTCTCAAACCAGAAAAGCCACCACTGGTCACCAACTAGTTGAGATACAGGCCAAAAAGAAACAAAAGATGCATAACAATCCTTAACTGCTTTTAGCCATGAGTTCAAGTCCTGGGCAGGGATAGTTGACTGGACACCAATCCTTAATTGTTTGCCCCCGATCACCCAGCAGTAATTGTGATCTGGTTATAAACCGATTGGCAGGTCATGTTCCAGAAAACTGAAAGGGGTAAGTCTTGACATGACAGATGGGAAGGAAGAGTTCTAAATATGATAACAGGAGACTTATGTTATTTACACTTGTAACCATCCCTATAAAAAAAATAATATAGCATAGCTTTTATAGTCAAGACACTACATCCAATCCAAGAAAATCAAGTTAACTTAGCTGAAAATCATTTCCCACTGGTTGACCAACTATTAAGAGGTGTAGTATGTGACATTTGGGAGTATAGTGCTGAGGTCGGGAGAGGTGCTGCAACCAGGTGATGAGCAGCAAAATGTAAGCAAGGATTGGGCTTGGTTGCCCGCCATCGGCAATCACACAGGTAATGCCATGCAAGACTGATAATCTTGCACTTTTGAATAGATCCTTTTAGCTTACTATTCATGGATGGACTGATACTGCAGGAACATTTTGAAAAGAAACTGGAGGCACTAGTGCCATAATATAACACATGAAATGTGCATATCATCTTAAAATCAACCTATGGTGTACTCGCCTAGTTGTGCTTGCGGGGCTTGAGCTCTGGCTCTTTAGGTCCCAGTGTTGGTGTGCACACCATCCTAAGACATTATAAGTACTTTGCAACATTTGAAACTCCCACAGGGACACCGGATTACCGGTGGTATTTGAAGTCTCCGGTAAACATCAGTGGCTTCAAAAGTGATATTTTTTTTCCTATGCTCAGGGCATAATTTTTAACAATATGGGTTGACAAAAACTACTTACTTTTTTTTTTTTGTATATAGAGATCATGCTTTGTTTATCCTAAGATTTCAAGGGTTAACTCCTTCATGTGACTGCATGTCCTGTATTAATGATGAATCCATTTGATGTAAACTATACATAAAACATACATGGTTTCTTACCAAATAATCTAATGAGATGAATAAAGCCATAAATATCACTGGCTTGTTTGTCCTTGTGTTGCTGTAAGATCTCCGCATACTGTGGTCTTTCAAATTTGTAGAGCAGCTGTGTGCCGAGCATCACATTAAAATATTCTCTCAAGCCAGCAACCACCTCTTGAACCGCACTCTCTCTAAGGGAAACAAATCCAATTACAGTAAGACTATTCAGTCTCTTACCTATTTAGCACCTAACTTCAATCAATTAATTAGCTGTACAGATCACAAGAAAGAGAGAGAACTACATAGTCCTTTCTTGCTCATTACAGCAATGGGGTTGTAAGAGGACTCTTAGTACAGTTTGATTTTTTTCTGATCCATTATCCTAAATCAGCACACTAACAAGTACATCTGGTGAGATTTTACGTAAAACTTTAGATTATGGTTAAAATAGAAAATGGCATTATATGTAGAAATAAATAATATTGAATTATTATACCCAGCTGCTTTCTAAACCATTATCCGTAATCAGCACATAAAAGGTACATCTGGTAAAATTGACAAAATTTATATTGATAAAAAAATCACATCACTAACGAAGTAATTTACTTATCAGGAATTCTTAATAGTAATTATTTTTCTTTATTTTATACAAAACCTAACCAATACACATGTACATGAATTAAGAATAACAGATCAAAAATACCATTCTAATAATTCCCCTCATAAACTCATTGCTGTAACTGGTGTCAGTTTCCTATTTCTGGGAAGAAACCTGCTAGGCTAATCGAGGTCTTCCTAGGCCAACAGCTAACCTCAAGGATGCCACCCACTAACGTTGCCAAATGTGCAGGTATTTACTTGCTGTCAGATGAACAGAGGCACCAGGAGAAAAGAAACACACAGGTGTCTCATCCTGCCTGGGAATTAAATCACAAGTTTGCCAGTTGAGGGTCAACTGCACTACACATCTTATGTGTCTATAAAATGCCAAGTGGTCTTGCGATCGCAGTAGTTGGCTCACACCTATCAAGTCACAGGCTTGATTCCCAAACAGGATGAGACATTATTGCAGAGTTTCTTACACCCGATGGCTCTGTTCACCTAGCTGTAATAAGTACCCAGGAGGTAGGCAAACAGATATAGTATCCTTAAATGCCAAAATTATTACATCTCCCATTCAATACTCTGATTTTAAACATATCAATTAATTTTGTTTAATTTTATATATGCTGTAAAGTACAGTACAGTATTTACTTTTGCAAGTTACAGTTTGCTACTAACTTGCTATCCAGCAATACATAATTTCTTAGGGTAGGTGCATGGGATCCTTTTAACCACATATCATAAATATCATCAAATTAGTTTACCATCTTACTTGTTTGGGGTGTTATTTTTGTTACTCGTTTTGGCTCGAATATAGTCAGCAAGGATAGTGTCGACAGTCACTCGAGCTGGGACAATAGCTAGCTTGCGCTGACGGTTAATGAGGTCCCAGTCATCCACCAGTGCTGGCTTCAGTTCATCTGGGAGTTTGACACGCACTTCAACTGATGTCATAAACTGGTCCTCCTGATGTGAATCAAGAGATTATGATGATTAATAACTGTAAATTATGCAATGCATAAACTGAATGTCTGGTTATCGAGTTTCAAACTCAAATCCAAAATAAACACTATTGTTTATTATTTTATTACAGTGTATTACTAAATACTCCAAAGCACTCCAAAGATATCTCTAAGCTACTGCACTTGTCTAAATATTAAACTAATGATAGTGATGCCTTACACTTCTATAAACCAAGACACTATTATAGGGGAAAATTTTCCTAGCCTATTTCAATTAGTTTTGTGCTTAGATGAACAAAGTAGAGACACTGTCCCACTCAAGACCGAACATGTCTCGAGTGTCTCAAGAGAATAATTCACAAAGGTGAATTATTCGGATGTACAGTACGATGCTGACGTAACCTCCCTTCTTCGCAAAATAATAATGTCTGAAAATACATCACAATACAGGTTTACTAAATACTGTAAACTAAAGGAATCAGAATAATGCAGTTACACAGTACACCATGGATTAATGTTGTACAGTACAGTATAAGAGTACTCACCAAGGGATCAAGGTGTTCCTCCACATATATTCTTGAAATCATGTCTTGGCGAATATGGCAGTTTTAATAGAGGGACGAGGGGGAAGTTGAGGCTTGAGGCCAAGATGCCGAGACCCAAGGGTAATGTGGAGAAGCATCTAGTCTTCAAGCAAAGCTCTTTTGGCAGCCCTATCAAAAATCTATCAAGTGCCAAACTGTTTCAAACCTAAACTTTTCATTCTTGAAAACTGCATATAAACTGTACAGGTTCATCATATTCTGAGTACTAAAGTAAATATTTTTCTCCATGAACTTTAAAATTACTTTAAGTTCTGTTGATGTGTACAGGGTCTAGTAGTGCAGTTAGCTTCAACCTGGATTCATAATGGGATCCTGGGTTTGAACCCCAGGTGGGAGAGAATTTTTTTTTGTTAAGATTCTATTTTTTTTCTCCTTTGTTTATTATCTGATTTTATATGCTACACTATTCTGAGAGCATAACACTAAATGAGCAATTGGTGATAGTTTATATTTTTTAATCTTATTTAAAAACTTGAAGTTTTCAATATTCAATTTTAAAATTATTCGTTATTTTCTTGTTTTTCAAGTTACGTTGTGATCATTTAGACAAAGTTGCAGCATTTGCCTAGTTGATTATGCACAAAAAATTGGAAAGTGTTTGTGCAAGTTTGAAAAACATTAGTTATGTCAAATCGTTTATGTATATTTTGTGCGATGTAAGGGTTAATAAGGTAAGTAAACCTGGCCTGGAAAGTGTCAGGCAACCAGAGATTCACCGAAACAAGTTTCGTTGAATTGAGGTTCCACTTATACACCTAGACTTCATGTCCCCAACTATGGGAATTATTATTATGTTGGTAGTTGCTCCTTGCTGCTGAGTGGTACGTAAAGATATTATATTGTGTTTTTGGGGGGTAAGGTATTCACTGCTAATTGGGCATCAATGGAGCTTACTGCTCTTGGCCTGATTTTGTGCTGTAACCCATATAACTTTGTGGTCTGGGCATGTACAGCCTGCCAATCTGTTCCTCCTCTCGCTCTTATCTCATGACATGTCTCTGATAGTGTACACTTCTCCATATTCATCTACAGTCCTTAGCAATAGCTTTACTGGGTGGACAAGTCCCACTTTGTGCCTCCTCTTTCAACCAGCCTCTTCTCATTTACTGCACCATAACTTTGACAATATTGACTATAGCTTCCAAATTTTGACACATTAGTAAGTCAAAGCACAATAATATTGACACTACCCTATGTTAATGACCATTACTTTCAATTGGTTGCTCAAATTCAAACATTTCAGATTAGACCAAAACCACTTAACTTTAAGGCTTGTCAAACAGTCTCCGTGGTGTAGTGGTAAGACACTCGCCTTGCATTCCGCGAGCGCTATGTCATGGGTTCGTATCCTGGCCGGGGAGGATTTACTGGGCGCAATTCCTTAACTGTAGCCTCTGTTTAACGCAACAGTAAAATGTGTACTTGGATGAAAAAACGATTCTTCGCGGCAGGGGATCGTATTCCAGGGACCGTAGGATTAAGGACTTGCCCGAAACGCTACGCGTACTAGTGGCTGTACAAGAATGTAACAACTCTTGTATATATCACAAAAAAAAAAAAAAAAAAAAAATGCAAGGACTAGTTAATCCTAACTAGACCACAGCACTAGACTTCTTGTGTTGTGTCAGTGATTAAAACATTCATTGCTTCTTGTCGACTACTACAATTGTCCGATCTCTACACTACGACAAAACCAATATTTAACGATGATACGAGGACGACATTCCATAATAGTCCAAGGATTTGCATCACCATGCAATCTTGCATTGAAACGAAAGTTGAGTGTTTAATTGTTTTAAAGAATCTCAGAATATTTACTGTATAAGATATGATTGTAAGTTCTGAGTTTGGCCTTGAGATGGTGGCAGTGATGGTAGGTGAGAGGTAGTGGTGGTGGTGGTGGTAGGTGGGATGTGGTGGTAGGTGGGATGTGGTGGTAGGTGGGATGTGGTGGTAGGTGGGATGTGGTGGTAGGTGGGATGTGGTGGTAGGTGGGATGTGGTGGTGGTAGGTGGGATGTGGTGGTGGTAGGTGGGATGTGGTGGTGGTAGGTGGGATGTGGTGGTGGTAGGTGGGATGTGGTGGTGGTAGGTGGGATGTGGTGGTGGTAGGTGGGATGTGGTGGTGGTAGGTGGGATGTGTGGTGGTGGTAGGTGGGATGTGGTGGTGGTAGGTGGGATGTGGTGGTGGTAGGTGGGATGTGGTGGTGGTAGGTGGGATGTGTGGTGGTAGGTGGGATGTGGTGGTGGTAGGTGGGATGTGTGGTGGTAGGTGGGATGTGGTGGTGGTAGGTGGGATGTGGTGGTGGTAGGTGGGATGTGGTGGTGGTAGGTGGGATGTGGTGGTGGTAGGTGGGATGTGGTGGTGGTAGGTGGTAGGTGGGATGTGGTGGTGGTGGCAGCAGCTGGAGGTGGTGGCAGTGGTAGGTGGAAGGTGGTGGCAACAGTGGGAGGTGGTGGAGGCAGCAGTGGTGGTAGGTAGTGGTGGTGGTGGCACACGGTGGTGATGGTAGGTGGTGTGGTAGTGATGGTAGGTGGTGTGGCAGTGATGGTAGGTGGTGTGGCAGTGATGGTAGGTGGTGTGGCAGTGTTGGTAGGTGGTGTGGTAGTGGTGGCAGTCATGGTAGGTGGAAAAGGGCCATCTGATGGTGGTGAGGAATTGTCATATCAGTAGTAGAATCTGCACACACACACACACACACACATTTTTTATATATTATATATATATATATATATATATATATATATATATAATGTGAATGCATATACTGTACTGTATATTAATACTGTTAGGAAAACCATTTTGTAAAGAAATATTTAAAAACAAAAAGTGTTCTGCTCATTAGGCAAATTGGGCCTTTCTTACTATGCCAAGTAGTGTTGTCTTGCTATCAGGTATGACTATTTTTATTAAAACACACACACAAACAGTATTTGTATGTATGAGCATCTTCACGACATCGCTCTCACACTTTCCCCTTAACCATGTAGCATTCTCAAGATATCACACAGACACTTCTCCCATTACCATGTAGCATTTGGCCTTAACCATATAGCATTTGCAAGACAGCATGCACACACTTACACCATCAACTATGCACCAGCATTATCCAGAACACAGTACCTAATAAAAGAACATATCAAGACATCTACTAAAGGATATTCTATATAGTGAATTTCGTCTCAACTGGTGGAACAATTATTGAAATAAAGCCGTGGCCATGATGATAATGTATTAAGGAGCAACAACTTTACACATGTAATTAATCCTTCAAATAAGCATGTTCATTTGCCTAAAAATTGTGTAAAAAGTATCACACCTACAATATTTGTTTATATTATTTATCATAAATATTTCATAATGTTACCCCCAAGTTTCAAGACACTTAACTTAATATTAGACACCCAAAACACACACATATGAAAGATAGGAAGCAGCAACGTTTCAATGTTCCAGACCTCTTATCGAGTCAGGCAGAGACAGAACAAAATGTCATGTCCTTTCAATTTCCCTTTTGTGGGTTGGGTGTCTAATTTTCAGCCCCTTTATTGTCACTTATTACCTGATTACTTGAAAGTGTTCACTGCTGAACATTCAAAAGTAACACTTACAACAGGATAACCCACTCAATCTGAAGAAAGCCACCATCATAGCATGACAATGAAAAAGACAGAGGATGCATGAGCAATGATTTAATAAGGGCAGACTGAGAGTTGAGCAAGGTGAACCGGAGTAGTCTGGATGAAGCCTACTCCGAGTCGGTGTCTCTGAGGCCTCAAGGGAAAATTCTAGGGTGCATTAAACTAAAAAGGTCATTACTAATTCAGTGTTAAGATATTAATTTTAACATTAGTCTTACATACTTTGTGCAGGTGATGCTTTGACAAGCTCTCCGCAAGAGTAAAATTTCTGAATTTCATGAATATATGTAAACACCTAACATATACGTTGAATATAAAACAACAAAATCAATTAAAGGTTGTCAATTAAAAAATGTAAGATACTTGCGTCATCTACAGTCCGTGTTACCACATTCTCTGGGCCTTGTGTTGATCCATTCTGCCAATGATTGAAATAAAACAACTCAAATTGTAGTCATCTGTCAATGACTTTTATATTCTAGCCATTTCTAGGCAAGTACTACAGTAGCTCATAAGTGTCCTTCAAATATTCATCTTTTCTCCAAGCAGCCATTATGTGGACTTTTTAATTTCAGATATTCTGTATTTATCATCTTTCAAAATTCTAATACAAGTAGTTATATAATATACAGTACAGATATAAAAATGTAAAATATAATTAAACTAACAAAGTTTATATGAAAGTTTGCAAGAGGTATTGCTCTTGTAATTGATATATATTTTAACTTAACCTTGACAAATACAAACTTTTGTCATTATCATCATTATTTACAAGCTGAATTATGTCCAGTGTGGTCATCGACACCAATGCCCCTTGTATAATAACAGCCAAGTAAACACCAAAGACAGAAGTAAGCCTGCAAGACTATCACACACAAAACAGGCAAAACCAGCTCTTGATTTCAATAACAGATGCTCATGTCACACGTGACTGTCAGAAACCCAACCCCAATTCCACAGCTGGTTTAAACATTCCGTACCGTAGTAAGGAGGAGCGTGTTACTGTCCTCTTTATGAGTCTCATGTTTTAATTGGGAGAATACTCAAGTTACTGTACTGGACATATGCAAGACATTACGTTATCGGTCGACTCTGTAAATTATATGGTCACTTTTAAATTACTGTATATACAAGCACCTTGCTTAAATGTTACTAAAAAATTTCAACAATTATTTCAATATTTTTCATGAAGCTATTGCAATGTGATGATTAAGAAGGAATATGTTGTTACTTTTATGTTCTGTATATAATTAACAGCTATAAAATCTATAAATTTCCATCTAGAAAAACTATAATACTACCATTGACACAAAACCAAAGTATTCTTAGTTAAATGTTCTGTACAAGTTTTAGAAGAGTTCAAATGCCCAAGTATAATACAGCAGTTTGACAGGTCAGGTGTCAGCTGAATATTAAAAACAGAGTAACTAATGAATACAAAAATATTTTTTTACTGCACAACTTTTATGCAATACACTGAAAGTATTCAGCTGTATTTTAAGGCGTATTTTAAGTTAAATTTAACCTTTACTAGTCCAAGACTGAACACAATAGTTTCAATAGCTGATTGGAGCAGCAAAATATTGCCAAAGGACTATACAAATTTGAGAAGTTTAAGAGTAATGAAGCAGAATGATGGATACCAACTTCCAACTTGAATGGTAAACAGAACTCATTTTCCAAGTTATAATACAAAGCAAAGTGCACATAATCATTTATGATCACCAACGTGAAAGTGACATTGCAAGACCCGTGCATATTATTGATATTTTGTCTCCATGCTCACCCATTACTGTTAAGTGCTCCTAAATGCAGTCAATTTTGTATTGTGCTAAACTTGCAGTGGAAGGAAGGGTGCTTTTGTGAAATATTTTGTACCAAAACAGTGCATTGCCCTTGTGCTCTACTGTAACAACTGCTACTGTATACCCAAGTCATGTGAATGAATACAAATTAACAATATTGGACACGGAAATTCTGTGTCCTCTTCGGGTTGGTGGGTACGTATGAGTGTGTGCACTTACCTCAACCATGATAAACATTCCATGAAAGGAACTCTGCATTTTTTTTTTACAAATACTGTATATAATCTAGAAATTGGTGCTTCATTTTTTGTTTTTCAATTGGCCCATTTCATTAACTATACTTGTTACATTTTAACCTAAATGCAAATAAATAGAATCCATTTCATTTTTGTATCTACATAAATGTCACTGGGTAAAAACTATGTATTACCAATGAAATTCAGAAACTCTCAACAACTGCAGAGAAACACACTTGTATTCCAGTACTGTGATCATTTCCAAGAGTTCAAGATAAATAAATATATATATATATATACTGTATATATATATATATATATATACCTGTATATATATACATATATACATACACAGTATATACTGCTATAACCTATAGAACTGAAAGAGTAAAAATCCTACACATTTTATTCAGTGTCAAATAGTTAATTGACATGCATTGAGACCTCAACAGTGTCAAATTTATAGGCCATGCAGTTTAAAGTCCGAAAACTGGATACAAATTGGTCATAACAGCCAATAGAAAGGTAGCCTTAGATGCTAACACGTGAAAAAGTGATCCACAATATTTACCAATATCTTTGTTTTACATAATAGATAATTATATATATAAAAAGATATAAATGTTCAAAATACTAAAAGGATTCTATTTATGTGTATGAACAACAATACAGTAATATATTTATAGTACAGTATATATTTATCCACATAAGTATGTGTATTACACTATATATTAAATAATCATGTACAGTTTTTGAAATACTATGCAATTTCATTTTAAGACTATAACCAGGTGTTAACAGTCAATTAACTAATAACCTTCTTAATAGTGACTGCAACTTGAAACTAAAGATCCGGTGGTTTTTACTCACAGTATCAACGGTGTTATCCAATTTAGAACGCTTTTTCTTATTATCCAGTTCTTCACCTTTCACCGAGGCTGGCGTGGTTGGGGTGGAAGCTGCCGAGCGCTTTCCTGGACCGCCACTTGAACGGTCAGTACTGGGTGTGGAAGAGCGCGAGTCATCACCCCCGCCACTGGTGTTTCCACAGCCACCGCCTGGGCCACTGCTTCCCCCACCAGGCCCACCCTCTTTACCCAGTTCCTTAGGAAGTTTCTTTTTTTCCTTCTTAGACTTCTTATTTTTTCTGCATAACAAATAGATAGAAGGGAAACTGGTTAAAACCACATATAACCGAATGCTTCAACACTGTATGGCTCTTGCCCAGCAAAATACTACACGTCATTAAGTGCAGCAGGTCACTGCAATATATAACAGCATCTAAAGTTCCAAGCTCTGGATGAGCATGTTCTGCTTAACTTATATTTAAACATATATTTAGCAGGACTAAAACAAGGTTTGAGTTTCTATTTCAAATCAAGAAATGCGTTGCTTTAGTGCCACACAGTGCCTATATGAACACAAGAATGATAAGAGTGTTCTCATGAGCTAAATAAGTAGCAGCATATAAGTCAATAAAACTGACATAAGATTCATTACTAAAATGAAGTATCATGTGCGAAAGCGGTACACTTCTGAGAAAAAGTGCACTTACAGGGATGCTTCGTGGGCTTTCTGCAGATCCTTCTGTCGACTCATGTTTGCATCATTGAGCTTCAGAACACGACTCTCTGGAACCCACTCATCCCAGCTGAAACCATAAGTCATTTTGAATTTGTCCATATTATATGAATAATGATGGTAAACTTAAATAACAAACATAAATTAATATTCTAAGTAGAAATAACTTGGTTTATTAGGAGGAGACCACGTCGGAGAAGCCCTAGCATTACAGAGCAACTTACTGCTGCAAACCTTTTTAAATTAAATGAGTCAGTGCTTCAGCAAAGTCACCAGCTTCAGTACTGTACTGCAAAATAAATAAATAAACACACACAACTGGACAGTAAAAAAATAGCCTAGAATTAAACCCTTAAATTACTTTAAAGACAAAATTGATTTACAAACACCCAGGCAAAAACCTATAACCGGCACGTATTTTCTATAAAGGTCCACATACAAACCTTGAATAGCTGAAGCTACAAACGTATCTAAAAATGAGAAAACAAAATAAATTAATATTTTAGTTATTAAATGTAAAAAATATTACACTGAAGTTCATACTGAATCATAAAAGAAAACTTTAGAGAACAATGCAAATACAGTACCTGATTAGGCAACCATTCTGACAAGAATTAACAGACATAATGACAAGGTAACAGCTCTAAAGGAGTAAGAACATTTAGTTGATAAAATTTATGTTCACATGGAAAATAAGTGTAAACGTCTTTTCAAAAGATGCAAATACCAGTACAATACTCTGTGACAACTCTTGCAACCCCTCATGGACAGGATCTTGCAAACGCAATGACCAGAGTGAATACCCTTTCCCTCCCCAAATATACATTGAGTAAGAAATTTGATACTCACCGAACAGTGTGTTGTTCATCAATTAAGACCTTGGCACATCTAGGTGTTGGAGATGATTTAGGCATGTGCAGAGGAGTAACTTGAATTGATGAAACTAGAGTTACAAGTACAGGTGTCAGACTCACTCGAGAATGGTGCGGAAGAGGGAGAAACGTGTGCATTTAACATCCCTTGTAAAGTAGCCTTCAATTGTCACTCGTTTCATATTCTCTCTTTGTAATATTCACAAAGACATTACACATGTCTTACAGGCTCTAGTGTAGAGCAGTATAATCACCTCTTCACTGCATTAAATTTCTAATTCTGAAATGAGCAATTTCTGGGATACTGTATTCCCATTTTTTGTCTCGGCAAAAAAATTGAAAGCTATTTTTCTTCATCCTTCATAATATCACTGGTAGTTGTCCAATTCATTTTACAGTTAGCCACAATCACACTCCCTGTGATGACATTTTCTATTTTAACAATACTGTACTCCCTTATTTTGTCATAATGGGCACACTTTTCTTCTTGAAAAATCACAAAGCTTTGCTCAACATACGATTAAGTGACATAGAAGTGATATTCCATATCTTTGCCAATAATTCCAGATATGCAACGGAAATTGGGTATTTATCCTTCATTTGAAGTCACACTGAAGACAATGACGCAGTGATTGTCGCAACAAATTAGTAGCGCAATTAATTAGTGACGCAACAAATTGGCTGCGTCACTAACTCCACCCCCCACTGCTGGGGAAATTATTTTATTCTACAGTAAATACAGGATTGAAGAGCAACATTAGCAAAGTCCATAATGATACAAAATAGGTCAGAAAATCAATTCAGAAGACTCAATACATGTATTACTAAAGGATGACTCAATATGCCCTTAAAATGAAAGAATGGCGGATGCAGTGTAATGCTGACAAATATAAGGCTCTAAGCCTTTGAAATGATAGTTGGCGGAGGTCTCCAGACAAGGTTGAAATTGCCAAATCTGAATGAAAAAAATCTGTTGAGAGACAGACATCTGTTGTTCTTCAGCTTTATCTTACCATTGTTAGGCCCCATTTAGATTATGCAGTTCAGCTTTAGGCATCATATTATAGAATAAACAAATACCATATTTAAAAAATGCAGAGAAGGCTAACAAATTTAATCCCAAGAATTAGAAACTAACCATACAAAGTAATTAAGAACCCTAATTGACATTTTCAAGAAAGATGAAAAGTATAGGAGGAAACGACAAGTATATAAATGGATGAAGGAGGAATTGTAAATAAGGTGCTAAATAATTAACACAAAATAGAAATTGAAAAGATGGAAACAAACTAGAAAAGTTTAGAGTCAGAAAAGATACGAATAATTATAAGTTTGGAGATAGGATTATTCATACATAGCACATTATAATGATTATTATTATACATTATTCGTACATGATTACCGGGTAATATAAAACGCGTGGGATCGGTGTAGTTTCAAGTGTAGGTTAGATGCACAGTATATAAGAGTGAGTTTGGTCGAGTATAAACAAGAGCTTCCTTACATGAGCCAAAAGGCCTTTTGGAGTTTCCTCTGTTGCTATGAGAGAAAAACTGTCCTGTGGCACAGTGGTTAACTCCAACAGGTCACATCCAAAAGGTCCTGGGTTTAATCCCCATAGCAGGACATTAGCATTTGAGTAAAGTTTCCTTTCATGCATATGCCTTTGTTCACCTAACAAGAAATAGGGACATCCTGGGAAATGCCTGTAGTTGGCCTAAGGAGAACTTGACAGGCCCAAGTCCAGGCTTTCTCTCCCCCTGATTATGTGAAACCAAGTTCTTATTGGCTCAAGTTTCTATTCGTTGGATGGAGCAATTTTACAAAAAGGAAAGTACAAATTGTTTGAATTACGTTTACGTAATTTTAAACAAAAAAAGCCTTGAGTAAACATATGAATATAAGCAAGTACAAAATATTCAGTAAGGAAAATAACTGATGAAAAATATTAAAGTACCGGTAATTCTAAATTATTTTGTCTTTCATTTGTATGTATATAAATCTTAACCTAGTGAAAAAATGTATCTTCCATTAGAGCATAAACAATGAAAACAATTTCCAGTGCTTTGCCATCTCTTTAAAGTTAATCAAATGTCATTATCCATGTGAGCATAATTTGTTAAATAATCATTTTAGAAACCACAAAATTGTTACCTTGTCCTTGTGCCAATGTCCTCTTTACAAATTGGTCTACTAATACTGAACATACAGTGCTTCCAGAGTACAGTATTCATAGAGCTTTCTATTTTATTCAATATAAACTTCAGGGTACAAATTTATTTATATTTAACAAGTTAAAATATTAATTTACTTTGTCTACATTTGTATAAAATATTGGAGCTTGAGTTACTCAATATTTATACGTAAAAGGTATCCCAGAATTTTTCACCCAATTATGTATTTAAAAATTACCCTTTTTATTTGAAATCCAAGTGTTATTCTTGTTGCACCTTGAGGTTTAGACATATAAGAACACAGTGCAAGAACTGTATGCAAGAACACTGTGAAAGCAGTGTAAAAGAACACTGCAGGATTATTGTGTAAGGACACTATAAAAATACGGTGAATACATTTATGTATGAATGCTATAAACATTGTGTAAGAATATTATAAACCTTTATTCAGCAAATGGATATTCATACTGTGTATACATACACAGTGTAAGCTAGAGTAGATCACTACACCTTCAAAACATCCCAGCAAAGTAAGAGAGAATAACACAAATTATGTAATTACCTAAGTTTACCTACAAGATGAGAGCTATGCTTGTGGTGTCCCATCTTCCCAGCGCTCTGTCATATAATGCTTTGAAACTACTGACAGTTTGATCTCCTTCACCTTCTCACCTAACTTGTGCAAGAGGAAATGTGCATGATGCCTCTAACAATGCCAAATGATCCTCAAAGTTGGAGAAAACTGAAGCAAATACAATAGGATACAAAAAAATTCTGGGATAATGATTTGAAGAAAATCTTTAAAAGGATTTCTGACCTTTTTTTTTAATTTCTATATTTAATGTGTTGTACTTTATTTTACTTATATATATTTTTTCATTGTACAATGCAACACTGTACTGCACACATTGTACAGCATTCGTGAACTATGTAACTGATCACTGAAATGTTAAGTCAATAAGCCACTTCTAAAATTAATGTCTGTTCTAATATTAGAAAGTTTACACAATATCTATTGTATAAAAGCCATTACTGCATATAGTATCCTATACTGTACACAATAAACAAAGAGCCACAATAAATTTAGGAAACTAGGATGGTGGTGAAAGCCAAAGTGATAGAAAGTCGAGTTACATTTTAAGAATCACACAGAAAATCTTTAAGATAATCGGGCTTGTGCCAAACTCATGAACCCAGCTTTTTTGGCATGTACCATAACACTTCCTCATGACTTTTTAAGTGACTTGGGTTTGGTCCACTATGAGAAGCAAGTGATATGACCAATTTCCTTGTGGATTTTTGTATATTGAATCACACACTGTGACACTGTACACAGTACAACAAATACTGTATAAATTTACAAAGAATTTTACCTTGCTATATGAATTAATAGACATTATTAACCTAAAGAAGGAATTTACGCACTTTTTGTTCCAGCCAGCGTAATGTATGAAGTATTTGACCTGTTTATCTTTGGCTTGGACTTTGAGACACTTGGCTTCATAGATGAGAGGTCCATGGAAACACAACACTTTCTCAGCTGCAACAAGAAAATAAAGTTACCTCCTGTTAAGTGAAACTTTAAGGAAATTTTGTAGGCTAGGTACTTTCAAACACTAATATTAATGAGTTTGGCATTACAATTTTCTCTATAAGAACTAAGGAGCTAGCATCTGCAGCCACCTACCATCAAGTGAAAGAATATAAATACTCAACTACTCGGTACTATACTGTACTGTATCCTAAATATCTTTAACTCAGGTTGGTTTTGCTGTGAGGCACATGACATCCCAGTTAAAGGGGGCCTCAAACTTTTAATCAGTTACACACTCGAACTGGTTCAATGGTGTAATAGGGTTAGTGTTTATAAACTCAAATTCATACATTTTTAACAGTGCCTACTTATTGTGAAAAGAACATTTAAACATTGACTTTTTAATTTATAATCACTAACCAAGATGCCCAGATGCATCTCTCATTAAGATTGCGGATACCTGGTTCAATTCCCAAATGGGACGGAAATGGTTCGGCCTGTTTCCTTTCACCTAATGCCTTTGTTCACCTAAGAGTAAATAGGTGCCTGGGAATTAGGTAGCTGTTGTGGGGTTACAGTCTAGGTTGGATCAGTAGTTCGATCTTGGGGGGGGGGAGGGTTGGACCTTGATGCAACTCTAAAGTATATATAAATATATACTGTATGTACACAAAGGTTTAACGTCCCAAACAATTATATTTCAAAACAAATTATATTTCAGCATTAAACTGCATCTGGCACTCATTCTTCCATTTTAAAAGTTGTTCTGTAGTGATTCCAAGTTTAAAATTTGTTCCTGTTATATTTTAGTGTTGGGAGGACATTTTTTATAATGCTGCAATACAATCCTGCCTACATCATACAAGCCATATATGACTGATTCCCCACTCTTGTCCAATTTCTGCATGTCCTTGTCTTTCCCAGCCCACTTTTGTCCAGTCTCAGAGTCCTAGCTGTCCATTTGTCCAAGCCGCAGGTATTATTACCGTAGCAACAAGCCCTGTTCCTTCCAGGCCAGACCCCCTTAACACCGTTTTCACTCCACTACACACCTCGACGAACACCGACAATGCCTACTAAACTCCGACAGGAGCGGAGCCGACCATTACCGACCCAGATAGTGATTAAAAAAAAAACTAATACCACAAAACGGCATCATCCCCCATCAGTTTGAAACTAGGAATGGCGCCATCACTTGTCGACTCACACTCGCTGAATTTGGTCTTGAGCGGCGCCTTCTCGACGGGGGCCGTGACGGGAGGAGTCTCCGGCATGGTGCAGTGCTTGTCTTGTCTTACTTTCCTTAGTTTGGGTGAGATATAGGAGGCGGTGTTGGCGTCCCCCCGACCTGCAGCAGCTCCTCAACTCTCTGCTCTTGGAGTGTTCGTCTAGGGTATCTGGCTTCAGGATCCTGTTCGCATAGTGGACGTTCGTGTTATAGATCCTCATCAATTCGCCATACCACGTGTATGAAAGGCATACGTAAATCTGTGTATCTATGTATTTACGTATATAGGTTACCTTAGCATTTTAAAAGCACCGACTCACCTTCTGTGGTTGATTGTTCAATAAACCCTTGAAATATATGTTTAACACATCTCTAACCCTGTCCATGGAGGACAGAAGAAAATGTATATATGCTGGTTATCATTGTAAATGTGTGGCCACGTCTGTGGTAGAAAATAATAATAATAAAAAACTATTAATTTTTATTATATACGAATGATAAATGTCACTTGTGATTATAGCTGAGACTTGTAAAATCACTTCAGTTACGTTCCGCTGTTGTGTGCTCCATAACTAAGTTATTTAACACTGTCCATATGCAGGAAACGCAATGAGTGATCAAGTGGATTTGCCAGAATGTATGTTTTTTTACCTTTACCTGAATTTACCTAAGGACCACCAATACTAGTGGCCTCGACGAGGACAGGAGGCCAGCGGCTCGTCAAAAGTCCCCATCTGCCCTGATGGCCTTTTCCAGTTGTATTTTAAAAGCCAATGTAACAATATACATTAAATGTTGTAGTTAGTTCATCAAGACTGTAATTTGCTTAGCTAAATGAATGTTGGAATAAATGCAAATATATGGCCTCAGTTCCTGAGCCCACATATGTGCCTCTGTAACCCTTTCCACTACCGCCAGATTCATGATTGATAAAGTTTAAGCCACCCAAGAGGTGGCACGGGCATGAATAGCCCGTAACACTCCCGCCAGCAGGATTAATGCCCTAAATAGGCCTAGGCCAACGATTGACAACTCCCAGGATGCAACCCTCAAGTTGCCTAACTCTAGGGTACCTGTTTGTAAGTTTACAGCAAAACGCCATGGTCAGGTTAATTATAAGGGAATGCATTCCTATAGAATACATTCCTTCTCCTATAGAGGAGAAAAGTGAGCAGAGGGGATATGTTCACAACATTCAAAATGATCAAAGGAATGAATAAGGACTATTTAACATTTAATTAAAGTAACATCATATACGATGCAGATTTCCCTGTTAATTAAAAATTAAATACAAATAAGCCAAACATCAGATTTATTAGAAAATAGATATAGGCAGATTTTCTTTCAAGAAATTTATAGTTACAGTATAAATTATGAGCTTATTTTTGTGTACTAGAGGAATTTGAATGTTAATAAAGTTAGAAAAACGAAGTAAGGTGAAAAATGGTCTGCTGGCATCCATATTGATGACGTCACTCAGTAAATAAACAGACGCCGTCAGCTGGGTGGCCGCTCCGGGGATTTCTGTAAAGTTTATCAATATTATTATTATTATTATTATTCTCTGTCAGATGATGCCAATATTGATTTGTGTATGAGTGTATTGATTTGAAGTATGAGGCTTCACAAACCGTCAAGTAATAGATGTGAATTGGAGTACTTTGTTAAATTTAATATACAGTATTGGAAGAAAGCAGCCACTCTTCTATTTCTCATCCTACAGTACATGTCAAACTATTTGCAGTTATTGTGAGCATTAATTGCTAAGATTGTAGTCACTAAAAACTGTCGTGTTTATACTGTTGCAAATATTGCAGTCTTCAAATGTTTTAGAATTGTCAATCATTTTCTAAAACTCACTATTCAAAAATTTGATCTTTTCTGATTTAAGTTTTACTCCATTAAGCCTAAGTTCTGTATTAATCTTCCTATATTTTTTACATTACGTCTGAAACATTCTGAGTATTAGTGGCTTTCCCTACTGTACTGTACTTATCTTACCTATGTACTAAATCAGAAATATTACGTGTATTTTCTCATTGATACATCACGCTAATAATTTCTTTGTGCATTACCTATGTATCCACTGTTTTGTATCATGTATATCGACTTCTGTAAATAAAATATTATTATTATTATTATTATTATAAAGTTTCATGAAGGGACATTTACTCATAGGATGAGTGATGTCGCCCAATAAACCAGCACTTTGAGGCAAAAATTTTAAATGGGTAGTAGTATTTATAGTATTTTCATTTGTAACAATCCCCTGGTACTATTAATATACAATCATTACTATTATTTTTAAATGCTTTGTTTATAACTGACTGTACTTTCATTAAATTTCGACTCGCTGCAAGTTAAAATTTAGAGGGCTATAGGTTGATTTGGTTACTGTTAATTGTTAAGATTTGCTTCAAATATTGTCTTAGTGGTTTTACAAAAATGCAACAAAGTTATTATTAAATTAAAGTCAATGTACTTGTATGGATTTATTGTATGTACCATATTTGTATGTATGTACCAAATTTTTACCAAACTGCATGTATAATTTTCTTAGAAAAAAATACTATATGACAAAATTATCACTCAATTCCTAGGAACTATCAGCAAAGAACTGTAGTCAGTTCAATGCAATGCTAGTTTTGTGCATACCAACGTAATGCAAATTCAATTTAGAATTAACACGTTGTGTGTTATACAGTACCAGAAAATAATCTAAATAAACACTCGGTAAACTAACTTTACCCCTATTACAACAAAATACAAGTCCACTATGGGCTCACCATACCCCCATGCTACTTGGAACTTTTTGTTCCGAGTGGCTTAATCTAAAACAACGTATTATAACAGCTGTTGTTATTATTATTAAATTCCATTAATATAAGCATTATACCAATATCTTTTTTTTATATAAATGGTTTACCAGGAGTTGGCTGTATACTGTATCTGAGCGTGCAGGTTTGTCCAGGCTCTCTCCCCTATGGCATCCCTTCCAGCACCTCGTAAGAAGCTCCATGTACGCGAAGAATTTGCTAGCCCATTGCCTGTTCCAGTGGGATCGCCTGCTGGTGTGGCAGTCAATTCTTCTACATGGCATTACTACACAGCGTGCTATGAGGATGGCATTGTTACTGTCCCTGATCCAGAGCATGCTGCCTCTCTCTGGCACAATGTATGTATGTTAGAAAATTAACATTATTTCTACTTGTACTGTAAATAAATTTGCATGTTGGGAGTGCAGTAGGAGCTGCAGACTAATTTTCAATTATCATGGTACAGAAATGTAATCCAAAAAGTGTGCAAAACACAAGAAATATCCAAGATGTTATGATCAGTGTTGCTTTACACTCTGTGTTCTGGGATAATGCCTGCTGAAAATACCTTGGACCTCATTCTTCAGTTAGTTAAAAGCAAACTATGTCCGGCACTTTTTAAATATTTTAAAAGCTTGTTGTGTTGATTTAGGGGCGACGACTATCGTGGGATCAAAAGCATACTTTGCATTGTGAGACTTATACTTTATATTAATCTTTGCAAATTGAGGGTACAGTACAGTACCAGTATTATCATTATAAACCTAAACAACTTGTTAATTACTTTGACTGTACAGTACTTCATAAAGCTATGCATGTTAGTGGCTTTGCAGGAATATACCACTCAATCAGCAGTGTATGTGCTTTCATGACCCAATGTCCCTTATTGTAAATAAATAAATAACTAGTTTTCAAACTTGTTATATGGTTATCACTACTTAAATTTTGCATTTATCACTTTTTATAGTAAACTAAAGAAAACACAAATAGGCAAGCTACCTATTTCATATATAAACTAAGGCAATTTTATCCACTAGTTTCATAATTTTTTTGTTATAGAATTACTGGAAATTCATCTCCTACTAATGGGGTGCTGTTAATAAGAAGTTATTATACCCCCACCTCATTATTAATATTATATAATTTGCTATATAATTTGTGTTATAAATATAGTTTTTGTTGCCTGTACAGTATGTGATTATTTTTTTTTCAGGGATACTTTGGGCATGGCAGATATGTTTATAGCGATGATGACAATACATTCCTACCAAAAAAACGATGGAAGCTAATTGAGGCAGATGGTTTAAGGGGTGAATCATGGTTTAAGGGGCAGCACAGAGCCAATAGCAATGCCAATAAGATAGTTTCTGAAGAGGTGGAAGTAGAGTCACTGTCATGCAGTGATCAGAAAAACTCGTCTCAAAGTGAAGCCCCTGAAATCATAAGTTCTGATAGTAGTGACAGTGTAATTGAAATTGTAGATCCAGAGATTAAGAAATGCTCTAGGACAGTTTTGACTCTTAACACTGAACGAGAAAGAACATTTAATGACTCGGATCCCATGGCTCCTGATGGATATCTCCAGCTGTTACCAGAAGAAGCTCTGTTTCTCGCTTATGCTCTCGGCTGTCTAATTGTTTCCAAAAAGGAGACAGGGATGAAAAATAAGAATGGCAAGCGAAGTTCATCTCCACATACTTATGTTTCTGAGATGACAATTGATAGTTTATGGAGTACTTTCACGGATGATGATCCCAAGTTTCCAATAAAATATGCTGTATATCATCACTACAGGACTAAAGGATGGGTGGTGAAGTCTGGTCTCAAGTTTGGTGCCGACTGGGGTGAGTGATGACAACCTTGTTTTTATAACACTGCTGCAACACATCCTTGTTTTGTAAATACTCTAACTCATCTCTGTTTTTAAAAGATAGACATAATTTATCCTTGTTTTGAAAATTGTTACTTCTTGTTTTGAACCACTGCTGTAACTTGTCTTTAATGCTTGTTTTACAACACTGCTGAAAACATCAAATTTTTTTGTAATGGCTACAACACAGATTTGTTTTTCAACAATTATATAAACCATTTATATTTTTAACATTGGTATCAATCATTATTTGTTTAACATTGTCAAAACTAGTTTTGCAATTGCTGTAACTCATATATATTTTATAACGGCTGTCATGGGTAAGTGCCAAACTAAATTTTTGTTAGATTTGTTAAGTTTGTCCATGCATGCCTTAAATTTAAAATGCTGTGTTATTCTCTTGATGAGGCACCACGGTGATGAAGTTAATGGAACTACTGAGAGAGCTAGCCCAAAAATAAAGCTGAATAATAAAATGTCCCTCTTAGTAATTCCTAGGTAGCTTCCTGTTTCTGCATTGTGTTTCCCATCTTCCCCATGTCAACAAGGTTTGCTTGGGTTTGAGAGTAGTGTGGCTGCCTTGTCCTTGTCCCAAGTGGCTTCTGTCTGGTCACAGTCAGGAAAATTGAAACATAGGCTGCTGCCTGTGACCACTGTAGTACGGTATTGTACAGATAACTGGCTAGCTATCTACTGGACTTCTGTCTTGTGTTAGGGGCTTACACTTATTACATTTCATTAGGATGTTTGTTAATCATCTTGAGTGTCCCCTGTCTATTCAGATGCTTTGGCTTTGTTTTCAGAATTACCTTTCCTTGTACTGTTAGTGAAGATGTTAACAGGTAAGTTTAACTTCTTTTCTGAGGGTTTTGGATTCCGCTTCTGTTGTCAGCTGTTCTGGATAGTGCTTTGGGACTTGATTGTTGAAGAAACGCCATTTGAGTGGGAGATAAATTAGCTAGCTTTGTGTGTGGTGATCATTTCTGGCTCATGCATGGGTTGGAACTTGTGCAATTATCAAGGTTTGTGCTAGAGAGTTGTGTCAAGTAGGCATTTACATTATTTCTTTCTGTGGCTACTGACACTCTCACTCGTTTTCAGGTGAAGGGTTCCCATGTATGTCAGACATGCACACGTATGCGCCGGCGAGTTATGCCTGAAATCTTGGTCTGTCCTTACCATCCATTTTTTGTATTTCAGGCAAGTTAGGCCTCAATGGATTCCTCATCCAGTTCAGAGTCAGATTGCTTTTACAACTTTCCAGGAGCTTTTTTTTTTATACTGTACTCTGATTGTTATTCCTATTACCTCCATCATTATTCACCCATGGATGTGTAACACAATACTGTACTTACTATTAAAATACCTGTACTTTAGTTTTATTGGTATTGTCTTATATCCTAGTTTGTGATTTTAATATTTTATTATACAGTACTGTATTGTATATTCAGTGCCAATGACCTCACCATGACAATGACAAATGATATCTTTCTTAATTCTTCTGGGCTCTCCCCCATTCTCCTGTACTGTACTGTACTTATCATTGACCATGGGGAAGTGAGGTCTAGCTCTTTATGTCCCGCCTACTAGCCTCATTTTACCTGTTGCATTATAACTTAACAATTCCGACGATCAAAATCTTGGTCGAATGTGTCCTTATAGTTGTGGATGGAGGTGACTTCCACAACTACTTCTCTTAGTGCATTTCACTTGTTGCCCAGCTTTACAGGGTATGAGTATTTCTTTACATTTCTTTTGACTTATTTATTTTTTTGGCTTTAACTTTCTTCTTGTCCTGCTTTCTCTAAACTTAGAGGCTATCCTTGTCCATCCTATCTATTCACCTTTAATATCTTGTATGTTGTGAACATGCAACTCCTGTTTTGTCGGTCCTCCAGGGTTGAAGTCTATTTCCTTCAACCTATCCTCATAGCTTAACCATCTTAACTTTAATCTGCAACTTTTCCAGTTTCCACCAGAGAAAACATAGCACGTTTTGGGTTTGGGAACCCTGGGTAGGCGTGGGTACTGCAGCCATAGTAGGTAGGTTTGGTCAAGTTAGCAAACAAGCAGCTTTGAAATTTCACTTGGCAGTCACTTCCGACACCAAATGAGGATTTGGTAGGCCTCTGTCTTAATCCCTAATTAAATGACTTTGCTAATTTAAATCCTACATCATGGTATACATAAGAAAAAAGTTTACAAGACTAATGTAAACTGCACTTGGAATCTTGAGTACAGGAGGGTAATTGCACATAGCAATTGGAGCAGTGTAATGGTTAACACCCTCGCTTCTCATATTCGGGTCGTCAACACTACTTGTATCGGAGCCTATGTCACTGAAGTCCGAGAAAGATTTATCGCAAGTACTATCACTGAATAAACTTGCGTCCGAAGACACACAAGGTGGTGGTGACTCTAGCGGTGTTGCCCCAGTGCGGCGAGGCGCGTGTACTGTACACACTCACGACATCATCCACCTCGGTCTCTCCTTCACTTGTATCGGACCTCTGTGTAAGGTTTTTCTCTGGATCATACTGTAGTCTTAAGTTATCATCCATAGCACCATCATACAAAATGTTGCGAATTTCCTCCTCGGAGAGTTGTTTTCCATGACTGCAGGTGACTGTGGAGCGGGAGCTCGTAGACGATGCGTCAGACATGGTTGCTTCTTTGAAACCGAGGCTCCCCACAGCAGTGGGGCATGCTGGGATTTTTTTCAAGATGGCGGACGATTACTAGGCCCCCCCCCCCCCCAGGCATCCATTTTGTACCTGCGTCACCGCTTGAATGTTTGAATGTCACCGCTCACCAGGTTTGAATGGAACGCTAAAAATATAAGATCCTGGAGGCGCATTACGCACCCCGTCGAGCGCCTGCAGGCGCGTTGTGCAGCTCAATGGTTAATAGATCTGTATGCCTCCGATACCTGCTCCTTGCTGAACTACGATTTTCACCAGTGCTTTTCATGTTGACTGAAAGCCACAATTTTAATGTACAGTATATGTATTTTGTCTGATACTGAATTTAACATTTTGTAAACACACTACAGTACTGTATTCACAAACTCTTTCTAACACTTTAGAAGTTCTGTATTTAAATTTTGTATTACAATTACAATTTGTATTACAATGGCCTGAAGGTAAATGCCATTTTATTAGATGCTTCTAGCACTTAAGATTTTAGAGCTTGTCATTATAAGGTCCAAAGTAATCTTTAAGAGTAGTTCAGCATTCTTGATTACAAATAATATATTTGCAGTTCTGTACCCAGTGGGCCCTCCATTCTACCATTCTCAGTACACCATCATGATCCAGTGTGTATGGGCAGACACTCTTGACAAGGACGAGACTTTGTCATGGCGGGAACTGTCATGGATAAATATTTCTGCAACCGAGCGCATGAATAACCAGGTTAATAAGGTAAGCTGTCATAGCTGTTTTGGAGCCATGTTAAACACCACAGTATCTGACATCCTTTGAGTTGCCATAGCCCTGACCTCCCTTGTGTCAGTGTCCTTGACCTTCCTTGGGCAAGTCATTCAGATGGATTCTCTGAGCTAAAAATACTTAGAAATCTAAGTATTTTCTTTGTTTATTTTAACTATTTTCTCTGGTTCAAATTCATAAACTTCTTATTTTGCAGACCCCGTTAATATCTATGGTTCTTCGACCAAGAAGTCTAAGTGGTGAGAAAATGAAAAGGATCGAATGTCTGAAGGAGCTTGTTATCAAAGAAGTATTGCTGTCAAGATGGAATCCCAATGATAATGAACTACAAGCTAATAAGTCAAGATAGTAGAATCTTGACTTATTAGCTTTTATATTTTGACGACTTGGCTCAAACAACTGTCACTTGCAATTTTATTTCTTTTCTTGGCTCATACATTTTCATATTGACATTTTTTCCATAAAATGGAAACAGTATTCATGTTTTAGCCTTATAGATGCTAATATTTTTTATTGCATTGACCTTTTATTATTATTATATACAATGTAACATTTTTATCTCTGAATAAAATAATACAATTTAAAACGTGTATTCTTACTACTGTATCTAAATAACTTATGCACACTTGGCCACTGTTGAGTGCTCAAAATATGAGGTTTCTTTAGTAAAGGGGCCATAGCTTATAAACCCTGGTCAGTCTTGTCAAAAGACTGACCAATCTTAATCTAATAATCATTAGATTGTAGTAGCCTAATGTAAGATTATTTTTTGCACTGACAGTAACTGTAACCAAAATAACCTAGACCTGACAAGAATACTGCTTTTGTACATTTACATTGAGTATGTGTCCAACCAATCCCATAGTTCACGAGTTCATAAATGGCTTTCCACACCATTAACAATTCAATATCTAATGTATTTTGATGGTTTAATTTTCTAGGCATGAAGGAAATTGCTCTTTCATGGCATTGTTTAAAGACCTATGCCATTTAGATTAATTGTCTTTTGGGGTTTTTATTAATAGGTACCAGTACTGTAGTTTGGTTCAAGTGTATTTACATTAACCCTTGCATTGTGCAAGGGTTACAGAGGCATTATCTATATGTGCACAGAAATATGGTACAGTATTTAAAACAAGGTTTTGTCTTCTAATATTGTTAAAAACGATGCCATGAACAGAGTAAGTGCTAAAAAAAAGATATCTTTTTTTTTTTTTTAAGATGTCAGATGTTTACTGGAAACCTTAATTACCAGTCATTAACACCATGTATCAAAAGGAGTTTTAAATGTTGTAAAGTACCTAAAACATCTTGATGTTATGCACACCACCAGTCGAACATCATACGATGTTATGCACAGGGCAAGGGTTATAAACTGAGTGAAATACTTCATGTACTGAAGCTTTGCACATAATCACATTGGCATAAGTATAAATATTACTTGCTTTGCTGTCATTATTGAACATATTGCTGGTGAACACAGTTTTAACACTATTGTGCACCGCAGACTTTGACATCATGGGGCTAAATGTTTATGAAACAAATGAAGTCAATCTTGACTAATTCTGCGTCACTGAGAACAGAAATAATGTTTAAAAAATGTATTAGCTCTAGTCTTAAAGCTGTTGCTGTATAATGGGAGTGGTTTGATAACACTCCCATTATAATGGGAATTGGGATAACCCAATTCCATTTGGTTATTGTGAGACAAGTAAAGGTTTAGATCCATAACTAAGTTGTCCTAAATGAAGATGAAAGAAATTGCATTAGTGAGGAGAGCTGGTAAAGAGAAATTAGCAGGAAATCAAGAATCAACAATTGGAGCAGTGATGAAAAAATACATCTCGCTTCACCACTTTAGTGCTAAAATTAGCAGCCTGAACAAAGGAAGGAGACACCTTCCTCCACTTCAGTGGACCCATTGCAAGAGTTGGCCACTTCAGAAGTGGAGGGGGTGTTAAATCTCCCTCTCCCCCAATAACCTTACTTCAGACAACCCCACTCATTTTTCCCACTCCTGTACTTACATCTCTTTCATGCCTTCAAAACTTTATGGTGTTACTTGGAAGTTGAACGTACACTATAATATTCTTATATTTTTCTTGTGTCTAACATGATAATATAAGAAAATTGGTGCAGTGAATGGTGATCATAGTAACAGCAATATTGGCCACAAAAAGTGGTACTGTAGCAAAAAGACATTTGAACAGTAGTTGTAGTAATTATCAAAAGAAAGCACTAAGCCAGTGTAGCTATATAGCACTCTTATGTCACAATATTCAAACGTTCTTGGATGTGACTTGGTGCGAATACGGTATCATAACGACATAAGTTGTCCTATGTCAAAGGGGTCAGATTCAGCCATGATTTTATTGAGACATGGCATATAAAAAGACAAAAGCTGCAAAATTTATTGTCCTCTTGTAAATCAGGCCATTCAACTAGTTTTATGATTAAGTGAAACAATGCAATTAGTACATGTGAGGTTGATGTGTATTCAAGCCAAAAAAAAATCCCAATTCCTATTATGGAGATTGAAGGAAAACCATTGGGATAGATCACAACTGATGGTACAGTAGTCGATACTGTGGTAGTGTCAGCAAGAACATTTGGTATTCCTTTTCCTGTATTAAATTTCCATACAAAATTTGCATGACAGTGTAAGCCAGAGGGAAAGTGGAGAAACTAACCCTTTTTTTCTTTTTCAATCCTGACATGAATATCATACAGTACCAGGGTTTGTAGTTTAGTGTTCTCAGCAAATAACCTCGGAACAAGATCATAATTTTTTCTGTTAACTATTTTTCCTTTATACTCTCATCATTATAAATCCCAAGACCAACAGTTCCATTAAGAGTATTATAACTGCTATGGTTTGGTTAGGTGTTTGGCCGAGCAACCTCTGAAGAGTTACTCGGGCAATGACACTAGCTGACTGACCAACCAGCAAGAATACTTCAGTCTTGAACATAGTCCAGGACTAAAGTAAACTACATATATACACATATACATATAAACTCTGTATATATACTGAGAAGCAGGGTGTATATATCCTCTCTTCTATATGGGATATACAGTATAGACCTCTCGATATATTTATTTATTATGACTTATGCTTGAAGGTAAAACATTAACAGTTTAAAGGTAGATTTGTTTACAGGTAAAAAAATACATTTTGAAAATTTATTAAATATGTTTTCTTTACGAATTTGCTAATACAATTTTTAAATATTTTCATGGACCTATATGTATCAGTCTTTTTATATAGTTTATGCAAAGTTATGGGAGAAAGAAAGACAAACTTGAAATGTATATAGTTTCAGTAATTACAAAGTTTCTACTTTGTGAAGCAATAAAGTCAGTTTCAATGCAATCGTGTGCACATGTGTAATGAAGACCAATATGAAAACAACTTCTATGGGTGGAAAATTGGCAGCTTTCAAAAGTACTTTCTAAAAATTGCAAAACATAACATGCTTAAATTATATTCAGAATTTTAAAGAACTTTCTCCTAGTTGGTAACAAACAGGTCATAACCCAGTGCCATATTTTTTCACCAAAGCATTTTCAATTAATATAGTGGCCCAATACAGTATACTGTATATTTATTAAAAATCTGTCTATCCCAGAGAAAATTTAAAAGTCTCAGCCGAGTGATAGTTAGGTACTGTACTTCCACAACCCTTCCTAGTATGAGCATCCTGTTCTATTGGCTAGTGTGATAACCTTATATTTTTCAGGCTAGTTTGAATCTCCAATATTGTGGATTGCATCTATTTATTATATACTGTACATACATACATCATACATACAGTGTATATCAAATGTAAAACCAACACAACAGGATGTCATACTCAAAAGCATACAAATTTTTGTATTTTCAGTTTCATGTTTTTCATATGGCCATGTATTTTTAGTTTCATATTTTTTCATATGGCCCTGTATTTTCAGACGTCTCTCCCAACCCCAATTTTTTCTTTAAATAATCAA